ATACGCTCACCTTTCGTGAGAATCCTTACAGCCGGAAAAAAGGGTTAACGTTATATATATATATATTTTTTTTCATATAAAAGCTTCCCCTTTCTGAAGAATGATTACTATTCAACAAATAGGAAAGTTGTAGTAGGCAAGGTCGGTCAAATTTAAATACCCTACATTGTAGTAATTAAAAAATCTACAATCATCACTAAATATAAAAATGCCATAATGTTGCGAACTAAGGTTTCATTTTTCATGAGAAAGCTTATAGGCAAAGCGTTTCCAAAACTAGGCAAATCTCATCCAAACATAGCAAACAATTAAATCTTTTCTTCTTAATACTTTCTTCATAGCATAGTAAAACTTAGTTCATTTTTTTTCTAACCATTTTTATATGGTATGGAATTTAAAAGATGCTCTCATCCATCCCACTCGGCATTCGAGCAGACTATTTTTTCCATATAAACTAACTTTTAGTAGTACTAGGATTATATAGGGAGCGGTGATTTGTCGTTCCGATCCAACGTGTCCGTGCAGCAAAATACTTCAGAAATGGCTACGTGTCACGTGAATGCGAAATTACTTGGACAATACAGAATGGATGCGAAGGTATACAGACAGACAGGCAGGTCGACATATAGGTTTAAAAGTCCATTCCGAAAATTATTGTGAATTTTATAAAATTTATAGAATAAAATTTACTTCTGACCTGAAATTGTACCAAGTGTTGCCTAGTGAAACCCCTGAAATTATACTCTTACAGTAGGATATGAAGAGAAATGAAAAAAAATATTTTCTAGAAAATTTATTGAAAAATTCGAAATAATATACAATATAAAGCTTATATAATACAAAAAAATAATTTTCGCAAAATTCTATACCGGGTTCCGATTATGCCAAATCATTTCACTTATAAAACGCTTAGTCAACCTTGCTGACTTGTGCTTTTAAATCTGCAACTAAACGATTATATGCATAAATGATGCAAACAAATTGTTGTTGTTGTTGTTGTTGTTGTTGTTGTTGTTGTTGTTATTGTTGCTGTAATAACATATACGAAAACTTTTTAGTTATTTTTTAAGCATAAGCTGTTCAAATAATAATAAATACATATTTACACATACAATACATATGTTAATTATACGTTAAGCTTGTATGTGTGTGAATGCAATATCTACAATGATATGCGGTAAACCCATTCTTTATTTGAACTTGCCCGTCCCTCCATTTGTCTGCTTGTAAAGGTTAAATAATTCTTAGCAATTTACATATTTCATCGAGTCTCTCCTTGTGTATCCTTTCGGATATTATGGAAATGAAGGATGCAACTGATCCAGCCTTTTTAGATTGTTTTACGAAAAATTTTTATCGAGTCTTAGATCAATACGCGGCAATTTACAATTTCCTTCTCTTAGTCGGGAAGGAATCAAACTTGCTGGCATCACCGATTCGCGGCCATCGACGATTTCAGCTCACTATCTTGGCCATCCGAACAGTAAATAATAGGCGGATAGGCAAACAGATTGATAAGTCGACTGACAAGCAGAACATACACTCGAATTTTAAAATCATCGCGGATTTATCATACGCCTTATGGGGAAAGATTTTTTTGTTCTTTAAACCTAAGTTGAAAGCTTTTAACAAAGAAAGTATAAAGAACTTGGGTCGAATTTTTGCTTGATAGCTCCCTTCAATTTGAACTTGTATTTTATTAGAGTAAAGAACAATTTCTCACAGGTATTAGTATATGCTGTTTTGTTCCCCTTCATTTGAGGGAAGACATTGACTGGTTTAAAGGGGCGGAAAAAAATATTCTTTACCAGATTAATAAATAAATGCTTTGACCCTTGCCGAGTGTGAGGCGGAGGAATTATTACATACAAGGATGTGGTTTTCTTGATTAGAGTTTAGTTTTCTTCTAAGCATTTCATGAAGACTGCCTGCGTTAAACGAGTCTCTACTGGGAGGTTACAATGTTTTACTAATTGATGATATTTAACTTCTCTAGTATAAAAACAGATGTCCTTCGAAATTGTTGAAACTATTGCCAAATAAAGTGCATCCTCATTAAGTCAATAGTTAAGTAAATATGTAAAGGAGAGCGATGCGAGAGAATTCGTTGTCTCTGCCAAGAAATTGAGAATTTGTGATCAGGATTTTCATGTTAACAACGAGTTGGGTAATTCAATTATACATATATAATTTCCTTGGGGTTTTCGCTCTCATTTTGTAACACGTAAACGTGTATGCACAACGTACGACAGATACCGCAAAAGCTTCACTTTTAAGCAAAACAAATCTTCAAGATAAGAGAGTGACTGACACAAACTATTTGAACACTGAAGGGCATTTTTAAGATCCTGAGAATGTATTGTGAAAAGAAATCGTTTCGATTACATATTTCTCGAAATGCCATTTTCATATCATGTGCAAGGGTATACTAACCTTGGGAGGATGTATGCAAAACCCAGAGGTATTTGAGATAAACACACCTTTTATCATACCGATTATCGGTTTAGAATTAGTTTCTGAATCTAGGCTTGTCTGCCCGTCTTGTTTTCTTATAATCGCAATTTTTCAGATATTTTCATAATATTCGGTAAACTAACGTGTACGTAACGTGGCCTAAGGATACACGTTATTGAAAGTGATTCGAATCTGAATCCTTTTTTTCGACTGCTTTCTATACAATGACTTATTTTTAAAAAGTCATTATATATAGTTCTTGTAGAATATTTAACGTCATGTGGGCCGTAGACCACCACAGTGTTTTCGCTTCTTATCGATATCCTTGTAACAATATTTTCGAGAGAAGTACGGGAGAGTTTTTCGAAAAATTGTCTTTAGTATTTGTTATTAAGAAGAAGAAGAAATTCGCTTTGCTTTGTTGAAAATTGAACTTTTCCGTTCCAATACTCGCTGTCAAGAAGCCTTTCGTACTTGTCTAGCTAAAGACGTGAACATTAAATGATTTTTTTTTTACATTCGTCTCCGCTATTCCTTGACAGTTTGCGCGGCGGTCTTGCCCCACTCCATCAGTTGCAAAATTTAACTGGCTTTTTCGGTGACTACTGATATCGAAATTTCCAGAACGGAATCAGGGAAATCCACTCCTAGCATCACATAGCGGTTTCATTCAAATACTTCACTCATTTTCAAATCCATATAACTTTTTAAACGAGCAAAGAATCAGGAAACTATCCGCACAAAAAATTTGTAAACTGAAATGTCATCTTTTAAGCACATGTTTGTTTTAGACAATCAGGTGAGTGTTGCTCGATATGTAGATATCAATATCATACCGCACAGAATTTTCAATATCATAATGTACAATAAGCCAATAAGGTTGGGAGTAGATAAAAATCGGTTTGCAAGAGTTCGGGAAAAAAATTGCAACTTGTATGCGTGCGCCCGTTTTCATCAAAAGCAACTCGGGAAGTAATCTGAACTTGGGCTGGGAGTTACTCTCCCGATTGAGAGGTATTCTGCAGACTCGTCTTCTTTTGATTAGCACTCGTTCAGAGCAGGTACGCATGTGCGAAAATGGGAGAAAGTTTCTAATTGGAAGGCATCCTTAAGTTATCCGAATAGAAGGAAAAGATAGCAGATGATGATGATGCGGAATATTTCGATTACTAAGCTTTGTAAACTTTGTGTTTTTTAAATAGAGTTCGAATTAAGTCAAAAAACGGAAAGAATTTATTAATACAACTAATATATATATATATATATATATATATACATACCCATATACCCACAAATATATTCCCATACTTCCGAAAAGAGAGAAATTGTGAACAACTTGAGGGTCAACGAAGAGTTATTCACTACAAACATCTATCGGGATCTGTCTTAGTTGCCTATTGATGAACGAATTTATAAGGAAAAGCTCTAGGTTCTCTTTAAATGAATACCTTTTCCTTATAGTCTCTAATTTCTTTTATCCTTGGCGCTGAGAAGCACAAGAAAAAAACCAGTACATAAAAAAAAAAGCAAAGAAAAGCTATGAATGAATGTTGTGTACGCTGTCGCTTTTATGATTTAACCGGAAAAGTAAAAGAAATGCATAAAAAAGGAAAACAAAAAAAAAAAACAACGTTATAATAAAAGAGAAAAAACTGGTTTTTATATTTAAACACAGAAAGAAGTTCAATGAAAACAAAACGACAACAAAAATGAAATAATAAACAAAACAAAACTAAAATGATATTAACATTAATATGTAGCAGACGTTTAAACATTACCTAGTAATGTGTTGACAGCAAGAAAAGCTAAAATTAAACAGAAAATAAAAAAAAAAACAAAAAAAAAAGATTACAACTCTTGTCAGACGTTATAACGAGTCGGCAAAATTATTTAAACCTTCTATTGCTGCTAGATTATGGTGTACGTACACTTATGCGCGTTATGGTAGTGAGTTTGAAAAGACACTTGTGATGATGATAACGGGTTAATGGCCAAGGGTAAACGCGTCCTGTGCGATCGTAATGATCAACAATGTTGGCAAAAGAAGAAAGCAAATGCATGCAAAAAAATAAATAAATAAATAAATAATTAAATAAATAAATAAATATATAAATAAATGTTATATAAGTTCCTCAGAAACGAGAATGGAATTCAGGTTCACTTACTATTTTGCTTTTTCATTAGGTGACATAAATTTCATTTACATACATGTACGTACATAAATGTTGTACGTGTGCCTATATTAGCGTTGACAGCGTTGTAGAATCATTTATTTAATTTGATTAATTATAATTATTATAATAATAATAATAATAATAAAAATTTTTTTTTTTTTCTTATATTTTTTTTTTTTTCTTTTTTTTTTAAGTTTTTACTTTCAGAAAAATACTGATGTGGTTTGATAGCAAAAATTATATATGAAATGAAAAAATATATTCTTTCAAATTAAGAAAAAAAATAAATAAATAAATAAAATAAAGGATATACAAAAAGACCTTGAAAATGTTAATAAAAAAAGATAAAAACATTTTCGTTTTTTTCAAAAAGTAAAAAATTTCTTACCAAAACAAATTTCGCCAATAAAAATGTTTAAAAGAGTTTATGAAAAATCGTTTATGCAAATCTTGCAAATTTTGTTGCTAGTATTGACAACAACCATTTCTTATGGATTAGATCATTTAGTTAGTAATACGACCGCTCTGGGTATTAAATATGAGAGCAATGCCACCACTAGTATATCTAGCCAAGACTTACATCCTCATATCCTTAATACCAATATAACGATTTTGCATGAAGTTCACGATGGCAGCTATTCGACAAAAAAGAAAGATCGTGCGGATATATTACCGTTAAAACCGATTAAGAAGAAACACTATGCATTATTGGATAAAGTAATCGCACCTATAAGTTATGAAAAGTCAAAACCATTGAAAGATGTCGATCTACATCCAGTCGTTTTCGATTACAATTTGGGTGATTTAGAAGATTTAGAACATGAGTCATTTAAAAAAGCCGATCTCAGTAGCGAGGAGAAAGCGCTCTTAAGAGATACAAACACAACCGAATCTATATTACATTATAAAGCAAATAATAATAATAAAGACGACGGATCGGAGGAATACACTTTGGAAGACGATCTAAATGTTCAAGTAGATATCGTAACTACGACAAAAGGCAGTAACTCGGTATTGTTAAGTTTAGCTAATGCGACAACCATTAGTCCAACATCGTCTATTTCGTTATCATCTTCTACATCAGTGGTGACCATAAGTCCTCATATTTTTAAAGTTTCGAAAACGAAATCAACAAAAAAGGGCCGTGAACTTTTGAAACGCGAAGATCTACAAAAGAGCTCCAACAATCATAACAGTATTAATCATTATTTTAATGAATACAACAGCTTGGGTGCTAATGCTTCCGCGGCGAGTTTGCAGAGCGCCAATGTTTTCCAGATTTTTGTTAATTTATATGATCACTTTTACTGGCAGGCGGCCGACATTAGAAAGAAAGTCTCAACTGGCTGCGGTCTAGAATTGCAGGCCTATTTAACCGCATTACATGGCAATTATCATTGGGCTCAGCAAGGTAAGTTCTTTCAAACTCACTAATATAACAGCCCTACTTAGCTGATCTGATTAGTATAAAAACAACGATTTTTTTTGCTTTTTTGAATTTTTTACAAATCATCATTTATAATATCATATATGAGAAAAGTAATAACACTTGAGCTATTATCGAGCAAAAAATGTGAAATGTGCAACGATCGCCTATAGATTTTGGACAAAAAAAAAAAAACTATAAAAAACTAATCAGAAAGTATTATTCGCTATAGACCGATTCATAGATACCGAATATTTCTAATACATTTATAAAAGTCGTCCATATGCAAAGCCAATCCAATGTCATCAATTTCAATTGGTAATTACGTAACTTATACTTCACGTACTTTCTTCATACTTCACCCACTCGACTACAACTCAAGCAGAAATGTATGACTCAACGACAGGATTGCATATAACGCAATACATTTCCTTGCCAACAATAATTTGGCGGACGGACGAGTAAGGATAAATAAGTCAGTTCAGAATTTTGAAAAAATCGCGAAAATTTCGTATACCTTGTAAGGTCTGCGATTAACACTTTTAACTTTGATCCATTAAATCGCAATCATTTGTACTATGGAACTTCAGCTTGTGTATTATAAACTGGTACCATAGACAGACAAAAAGATCTATGATTAAAATAATTTCGCCAATTTTTCATTGGACAATAATTTCGCTCGATTTATATCAGACTTCTTGAGTAATCAAAACTTTTATTTAAGTTAAGTAAATGTAGGAGAATCTATTCTCTTAACTTCTCCTTTCGTGGTATTCATTAACGTTCCCAAGAGCGTGACAGGAGAAGACCACACTGTGTGACGCTCTCTACCATAGAGATACACACATAAATGCTACAATGCGGTTGGTGCTTTCAATCTCAATTTTAATTACATATCCCATTGGGACTGCGGATCGAGGATAACTTTTAACAACAGCCAACAAAACGCAGTACTATGTCACGAGCATTTTCTCGTGTGTCAATCAGGAGCGATATGGAACGATTGTGATTAGGAAGGATTAGAGGTAAAGAAGAGAGAAAAAGAGGGATAATATTTTTTTTTTTTTTTTTTTGTTACATTACACTTGGAACTGAATGGAATGAAATCATCTGCAACGGCGAGGTGGAGATCACTTCAGGTAGTTTGTTGCAAATTCGAGTAGTGCAATTAAAGAAGGACTAGTCGTGGATTAAAGCCGTTCTTTTACGCTTTAGCTTGAAAAAAAAAAAGAAGCAATCAACAATAGTACGGTTAAACTGAAAGGAATATCTTTGGAAAGCTAAGAGATGAAAGGGAAAAAATGAAAAGGGAGTAAACTAAGAATTCTTGTCTTTTTATTTGCTTTGCATTCAGCTTACGATGCCTCTGGTCGTTATCGCGGCCAATTATTTTTCGGCAATGATAAATGGCTGGGCCAGAAATCATTCTGCTACGAACTCAATCGCCAACTTGAACCCGAATCCCGTAAACATTTTGAATTTGAATTCTATGCGGCACTAATTAACATGAATTTGCGATTACCCAAGGAAGTGGTAAGGCATACATACATATTTACATAATTAAAACATTTTTTTGTTTTTATCTCGCAATATAATTGAAAAAAATGTTTATTGTTTTTTTCAGACTTTAAATTTGCAACTGGGAGAATGCTTACCAAAGTCATGTTCATCACAAGACATACAACATATATTGGATTTGGATCCTCATGCGCAAATCTTGAAGACTCTTAATTATAATAATAATAATTCTTCTAATAGCACAACGACTTCCGTTAAAATCTTAAGAGTGCGTACAGTGCCGGGCATTTACAGCTTTTGGCGGGAATTAAGTTTCCAGATATTTGCGTAAGCTCTTGGGAAAATGAAAATTGTTTTTAAAAAATTTCAAAAACCTCCCATCCTTCAGGAGCTTCATGTTTACTCTAATTGTTCTGGTCATTGTGGCCACTTGGTATCAATGTAAGGTAAATGATAAACAATACATAGAACCGGCAATATCCGTGATAAGTCAAAAAATTGATGTCAACTTAACTCATCATATGGCAAACGAAACTCGTTATATGAGCAGCAACAGCAGTAGCAACAGTAATCACAATATGTCTTTTGAACTTTATCAAATGTCCACTTTAAATGAGAACAACAATAATAGTAACAACAATAACAACAATCCTAATAGCAGTAATAGTAGTAGTAGTAGTAGTAGTAATAAAAATAACAACAATAACAATAACAGTAATATCGGCGATAGTGGTATGGAAAATAATGCAAACAAAACATTATGCAAAAATGGCAACAGAAACCATAATCTCAATGGTGACACCCAGTCACAAACGACCAGTTTGAATGTCAGAAATCCTTCCAGCGTTCAAGACAAAGAATATAAAATTGAAACAACAGAGACAAATATCTGTAATGATAGCTTACAGGGTACCTACATAGTCAAGCAACATTTGGGTGAGTTGGTAGAAAATGTTCTCTATCTTTAACGATAAATACATGTGAGCTGGTGTTTTCCTTCTTCTTTTGTTTTTTTGTTTTTTTTGTTTTTCTTTTCTATTGTTCCTTTTTTGTTTTTTTGTTTTTTTTTTTTTTTTTAAATATATGTTTGAAGGTCTACATGAGCAGCTGCTGTTATGTTTTGCATTTCAAACGAATGCCAGTTCAATATTAAATGTGGACTTAAACAAGGAGGTAAGCGAATAGTTACAAAATTAATACGAAAAGCCAAGGAAAAATCTATGTGTCTCATATATCAGCTAATGAATAGCATGCGAAGAATTAGGAAATTATTATTTTCATCCAAACCAAGAAATGATATCAGTTGGTACTTTATTCCATATGCACTCACATTACTTTATATAAAAGACTCCCCAGTTTCGTTAATAATAATTTCCAAGAAACTATGTACAAGATTTAATTGTTTAATTGAAAAGTGATTTTCAAGGGTGACCGAACACTAGGTTATGTTAGGCAGGAGCTACATTGGTTACGTGAACAGCCAGTCAACTAAGTGATCTAAGTTTGTGTTGAAGGCAAACTGCAGCTGAGCACATGCTAAGCGGCTGCAGACAGCCTGCGACTAGTCAGGAAGCCAAGCTGTGACTAAAATAACATAGGGAATTGAGATAAATTGGAGCTAAGTTGAATCAATTTTTACTTAGTTTCTTCGCATGTTTGTAACAAGTGTTGGGGCAGTATTTGTCACGTCTTCTTATACCCATCACCGAAAGATGGGGAATATATTTATTTTTTCAAACTATTTGCAAAACCCAGAAGGAAGCTTCAGAGATCGCACGAAGAGTATGTATTCTTGATTAACATCAAATTCTGACTCGATTTAAGCATGTCCGTCTGTATAAAATCTGTTATAAATTTTCTCCTGGCCGCCAAAATGAATCTATCGACATGAAATTTGGAGGTGTTTGCACGCAGGTTGATATTGAAAGTGGGATAAAACGGTGGAAGGACTTGCCTACAGTACCAAGTGAACCGAGAACATCTCCGTTCTTAAAAGGAGTAAGAAATTCTTCTTCTTGTTTTTTCTCATTACTCATAAACTACAGCAGATAAATGTACAAAAATTTGAATGTACCTTCAATGAGTGATGTTGTAGCACCTGTATAAAATTTGGGCACGCCTAATCAATTTTATAGTGTGTCATAATTTCAAGTGTGTCCATACCAATGGTGAGAAATTTTGAAAATTTAAATTTTATTCCATGGAACGACTTTTCAAAATAAGGCATTTTAGGTGGAGTGGTCCCAAAAATGACCCGTTCCGAACGATTTTCAATAGCTTTCGTCCCCGGGCTAAGGCACGTCTGTGTATCAAATTTCATCAAAATTTTTAAAAAATTACGATCTGTAGCTTGAACACGGAAATACCCGGACAGACATCAGATGGACTGACGGACAGACAGGGTTAAACTGATTTAGAAAATGATTCTGAATCGATCGGTGTAATACAAGGTGGATCTATATTAGGCCCATCTGGATGTTACATAGATCCGCACAAACTTAATATACCCTGTACCACAATCAATTGGTGTGGAGTATGAAAATGAATTTTTGGAACCCTTATGTTTTTTTTAAATTAAATCCTTTAATAATATTTTCTTGCAATTTCTTTTAATTTTTTTCCCTCTTCTTTTATTGCGTATATTTTCCTCAAAATTTATTCGTTATCATGCTGTGCGACCATAATTTTTACAACTATCAGCATAGGGAGGGGTCTATTAATACTGACGTTGAATTTGTTACATGCAGATATTCGCATGATAAGCTAAGCGATTAAGTATGGCCTTGGATGGCCAGATGGCTGCTACTTTGAATCAATTTATTCATGTCCGGTCATGTTGATGTTTATTTTTAGAGCTTTCCTAACGGCAAAAATCGATATGAAAAGCTAAACATCTGAACGCATATTCTTGGTTAATCTTTAAAAATTAATTTTACAAAAAAAAAAAATAAAAAAAATAAAAACATTTTAGTGGGACATGGTCCACCATTACATACTCTACACCACTTTGCTTAATTGAGTGATTTATATAAGCGCTTTTCAAAATATTATTTTATGGTCGAAACATTGGTCTCACAGTTTTCCTTGGACTAAATCTCATCAAAATATATCAAAAATCTGCGATCTATAGGTTGAACACAAAAGACCAGACGGACGGGCGAACAGATAAAAAGAAAACAACTCAGACAGACAAGATTCGAATCGGTCTATCGTAGGTCTTTCCGGATATTGACTATCGCCACAAGTGATGTAGGGTATAAAAAGTGAATGTCTTTAGAGAAACCCGAAGATCGTCGAAAATTTGATTACTGTCTCGAAACGAGAAAAATTGCGATAAAAATGGTTGATGGAGATCTTAGAAGAGGGCCGCGAGAAATGATCTTATTTGCCCGACTTACTTGCATCGAACTAACTGGAAAACACAGGTGAGACGGCGAGGAACCAAAATTCGATCTAAGGCGAGCGACAATTTTCTCTGATAAATTTACTACACTGTACTGTACTTTCTCTTGGTTTAGAAAAATATTTTTTTTTTTTTATTTATTTTTTGTTTTTTGTTCTTTGGTTTTTTCTTTTTGTCTCCTTTCGTTTTTATTAATTTCATGTTTTTCTATTTACAGGTTCAAACATCCTGTGTGCATGGTTTGCGCGTCATATCCGTATTGTGGACCATTTTGGTGCATACATATTTGCAAGTATTTTCCATAGGCGAGAATCGAGTAAATATTTAATGCTTAAATTTCATTTCCAAGATTTTCTATAAACATTTTTACATTTTTCTTTATATTTATTTACATTGATTTATTGTGGGAAAGATGGGTAGAAAATTAAATTTGAATTTTTTTTTCCATTTTTACTATATTACTACTATCCACAGTTTCGTCGCATCATTGTCGAGCGTTCACCTTGGTATCAAATTGTCGGCAATGCTACATTCTCTGTCGATACATTTTTCTTTATAAGCGGCTTTCTGGTTACTCTGTTGTTTATGAAACATGAGAAGAAATATCCAAGCGATATGCATCAATATGTTAAAAAAGGTACATGGGATACATTGATGATGCTCTTGTATCGCTATATACGTTTGACGCCAGCCTATCTGTTCGTTATATTTTTCAATGATTTTTCATTGAGGTACATATACACAATAATAGTGGAGAGGGAAATTTTAAACATACACGAATTTTTTTTTAACATTTCAGGGAAACCTTTAATAATTCCATTTTCCAAGCAACAATCGCGCCGAACACATGCAGCCAATATTGGTGGCGTAATATTTTGTATGTTAATAATTTTTATCCGTTAAGTGAAATTTGCATGATATGGAGCTGGTACATGGCCAATGAGATGCAATTTTATATAATGGCCACTATTTTATTGGTAGTCTCCCTAAGGTATAGAATATATATATATATATATATATATGCGCTCAAGTAAAGGTAAAAATTTGTAATATTTCCTTTCATTTCGTTTCATTTATTAGATATTTCAAAACTGCTGTCTTGACACTTGCTAGTATACTCATTAGTTCTTGGGGTGTTGCCGGTCTGGTATCTTTACGCAATCATTATACACATAAAGTAGCCAAGCCTTTCGAATCATTTGATTTTCTTTATGACAAGCCTTGGCAGAGAGTGGGCACTTATATAATGGGTAAGTTTCCATAAAATATGCAATCAGTATCACTGCAAAGATGTGATCTGGAATCAATAGCTTTTGATGATTTAAATAAAGTTACAACATTTTTTCATAAAATTATTCATCAATTATGTATATAAAAATTAATTTAAATTTTAGTAAACACTTAAAAAAGGATTGGGAAATAAGTGAATATTCCTCAAACTATGTTGAGAACGATAGTGATTGCCCCTAACAAGTAAACGAGAACATGAATGCATATATCGATAGCGTTAAGCGATTGATTTCACAATCATATAGATGTGTAACTTAAGAATTAATGCTACCTCCTGAATTGTTTTCTCTATTTAATCGTGCCTCACTTAACAATGTTTCAACGGACAATTCTACTGTAATAGTCAAAAAAAAAAAAAAAAGTTTCTATTGACAAAAATATTTAACAATTGGCAACATCGATGTTCGTGTAGCGTGTTTTCACTGAAGGATCTCGGCGGCCAGCAGCATAAGATTAAATAAAAAAAATCATTTATATTACATTCCCATAACTATTGAAGTAGATAGTACGATTGGCGGGTATTTGAATGAAGAAGACTTATCAAAAAATCGTAAGCATTTCAATACAGAATACAAAAAAAAAATTAAAATTGTTAGAGTTATAAGGATTTTTGAGTCGCTCGCAGCCGTGTATCCATCCAGAGGATGTTTCAGAAAGGCATACTAGCGTATTTTTGCTTGAAAACAGTTTTAAATGGCCACGAATACCTTCTCTTTGTGTATTGCTGAAGTTAGATATCAACAGATAAAACGTTAGGCTATAACTTGCCAGCAGGTGCTCATAGTACGGATGCTGGTGGCTTCTGCGGATTTTTTTTTTTTTTTTTTTTTTTTAATTTACAATGTCCTTATCCCTTAATGAAGCTACAATTAAAATGAAAAATTTTGTAATCTATTTTTAGGTATGCTCACCGGTTATATAATACACAAAGTGAAAACGCCTCCAAAAATTTCCGGACGCATTATTATTCTGCTGTGGATTTTGAGTTTAGGTCTACTAGCCTTAATTATATTTGGTGTATGGGAAGGACAACTGAACGAAGTTAGTACAGCTTTTTACGTTAGCATAGGACATACAGGTAAATTATGCAAAAAAGTTTTTGTCTTCAATGATGTAATTATTCATAATTTAATTTTTTGTTCGCTTAGCTTTCGGATTTAGTCTTATATGGATGGTATTATCATGCTGTTGGGGTCTAACGCCTACGATTAATCGTTTGCTCTCCTATCGTTGCCTTTGGCCTTTGTCGCGTCTCACCTATTGCGCCTATTTGATACATCCCGTTATAATGTTAATAACTGCTTTTCGTATGGATGGTACCGTACAATTAAATAACGTATTAATTATCATTGTATTTTTTGGTAATGCCGTCGTATCATTTATTGCCGCATTTTTTATATCTGTCCTGTTAGAAGCTCCCGTAGTACGTTTATTGAAAATATTGTTACGCAAATAGACTTAGAACGGCCAATATGGCCAATAATCAAAAAAACAAAAAGGAAAAACAAAAAAAAAATGGTCAAATCTTAAAGATATAAAAATTCTAGTGACTGCTTTATTGTTAAAGTAAGAGAGAGAGAGAGAGAAACTTAATAAATTTAAAGGTTAGAGGTATGCTTAGTGAAAACGAAATCCATGTGTACATACATCCATGTGTATTGCTTATATTTAGTTTAAATACAATTTCTATTTATCAATAAAAGAAAAGGAAACGCTATGTGTATAACAATGGAATATTTTGAAAAATAATTTACGCAAACAAAAATGCATATCATGAATATATAAAATAGTCAACAGCCTAAAAGTGTGCATTGCAGCAGAATGCTTTACATATGACCATAAAATAAAATAATTTATTTTATTATGAGAAGAAATCTCTTTACGCATACGCATGAAATTTGTTATACCTTCCATTGCCTGTGATACAAGGCTATATTAAGATTGTGCAGATTTATGCAACATCCAAAAAAGATTTGGGGAAGATCCGCCTTCTATTACATCTGCCGATTTAGTTTGCCTGTCCATATGACCGCTTTGCTACCTTTTGTCCAGGGTACAGGACACAATTTTCGAGATGTTTTTATGGTATTAGGTGCGCCGACATGTTCTGACCCAAAGAGAAACGCTGCTGAAAATGGTTAGAGTCGGGCTAGCTTCTCAACCATTTCCACTATAAAATTATGAAATACCATTAAAAAAATATGAATAACGGTATCAGGCGAAATGTGTGTAGGGTATTTAACGTTGGACCATGTCCCACTATAGTGATTTTACTTGTTGAACCAAGACTCTAAAGATATCAACAAATATTGTATTAAGTTTTTATTAACAGCAAATTTTTCAGCAACAACTTACTCCAAGGAATTTTGTTTTCAATAATTTGACTCTTCCCTTAATATTCTGGTATGTTGCACAATTATGTTCAAACTGGATGAAAGAGAATTCCCCCAATGTGCATTAAAAGAAGCGAACGGGATTGACGGTCCAAGGGAGAGTATTGATTTCTCTTGGTCTTTTACAAAAACAAATACAAGTCGTTATCTAAAATAAACCGCAAATTCATCGGAGATATGGTGAGTTTCTACAACCGCACTGCTTGTTACCGCACCGCACTTGCTACCTCCTACAATTTGCGTCTTATCGATTCGGTAATGTTATGGAAGACAGTACGCAAAGTCGAGCTTTAATTTGATAATTAATTGAGGTAATTAAAATTATTTTTAATTACTCAGTCAGCGTGGATTTTAAGAAAAAGTCGGTATAAGATGTAAAATTAATCAGATTGACGGCCCCTTTATACTTTTACGCCTCAGTAATGAACATTAAACTTTTAAAGCATGGACTAGGAATTGCAATGACACAAGTTCAGGAAAGCAAACACAACGTAATTGGAAAAGAATTCTTTATCGATAAACTTAATTAAATCTATCGTAACATCTTAAACTGTGAACAAATTTCTATGGCTTAAGCAAGGAAATAATTTAAAATATTCTTAAAGTTTTTTATTTGCCTTAAGGAGGAGCACATGCCAGAACATAAATTGCTATAACAAAGTTTTTTTAAACTTTTTCGGTGTTAATGACAACAGTCTGTTCAAACAGCATAAATCCTGATCAAAAGTTCGTACAGATTTATCTTTGTTTATAAAAGATACGCTACACTATACCCTATGGGGGTGACACTTTATATTTCTAAGCGCCTCTTAGACCGGTTAAAAGTGAACTTTCGCCTTGTCTGTATTATTATCATGTTTATTTTTAATTGAAAAACTTTCACCACGTTATAAGTCATTTAAAGCAATAATGAAATACTTTATAAATTTCTACATCGCTTAACATGAAAGAGAAAATTGATTTTAAAGACTTGAGATGGATTCATTTTATATTGATTAAATTGATTTAAGTGTCGGTATGAAATCTACCTATGTAATTTTGTGTACAATTTTCAAGATATTTTGATGTAACCAGATTGAAATTTTCTGAAAATGAAATGGATCCTAGCATTTCTACGATCAATATATCAGACAAATTGTTTTTATCGATTAAAATATAATAAAATCGTTGAAACACGAAGACTTCGAGTACGCAATGGACATAACATAATGAAAAGGTATTAAAAACATGAGTTCATTTAATGTTTTTTAGCTTAAAATTGAGAAAACCAAAAACTCCTAAAACAGGAAACCGAATTACTGATCTATCCAGAATTTAAAAGAAGAAACGATCTTCAAATGCGTAAGAGTCTACAGAGTCGAGTTATTACACATTCTTCTTCTTGCGTGTTTGTTATTTTATTATTACCTCCTATATTTTTTTGTTATTTGCACAAAGGAAAATAATTAATAGATTTACATACGTAAATAATAGCATAATGAATCTTAAGATAACGCGGACATTTAATAAAAGAAACAAAATTGAATAACGAAATAAATCATCTTCTATTATGATAAAATAAATTCACACATTCTTTATGCATTGTAAAATATATTCGCAATTTTTTGATAAAACACTTTTATATTAATATTTATTTTAAATA